ACGCACTTGTCTGCGAAGTTTTCCTCATTTGCTCCATACTGTTTGATATTTCTTCTTTGCTTTCTCTTAACCTTTTTAATTCTTTTTGTGAAAACACAGATTTTTGAAATAGTTCATTTTCTGGAAAGAGTAGAACATATCAAAATGATTAAAAGTGCCTCAGACAAAATAAGAGCAGAAGTAGAGCTTAAAACAGGCACCTTTGATAAAAAGAAAATAAATGAGATTTGGTGTCTGCCATTTGCAAATGAAATACTAGTAAGAATATTAACAAGTACTAAGAACTTCTTCTTCTTCGCACAAGAAATAGATTTAGCAAAAGGTTACTAGACTTATCAGAAAATACGAATGAAATACTCCTGTAGAGACAAATAAAGAGATCAGGAGCTAAAGTGATACACATCTTCAAGAACTCTAACAATAACAATATGAGAAGTGCAATAGTTTACTTTGAAAAAGAAGAAAACATGTTAAATTGCTCTAAATTCTCACTATCATATTATGATAATAAGTTAAGATGGGTAAACTCAACAAGATATGAAGTAGATGCAGGAAACGGAAAAGCTACAGACCATGAAGAGCTAGAAGCTTACAGAAAAAGTAGTACAAAAAGCTTCAGAATAAGGAAAAATACTGAACAAGACCAGAAAACTCACGCTAAGCAAAGAAGAAATATCAAACAGTATGGAGCAAATGAGGAAAACTTCGCAGACAAGTGCGTACTCAGAAAAAAAAGAAGAGAAATATGAGAAGACAAAAAGAAAGAAGTTAACTATGAAGCATCCAGCAGTATACTAGCATCTCAAAAACAGATTACAGACTCAGAAAATGCATATGATTACATGCTATAACCATAAGAAGTCTTGAAGAAAAAATTCAACATATAGAGTAGGAAGCTCCAAATCGCTTCTAATAGGCGTACTAGTTAAATTAATAGAAATAGATAGTGGAGCTAACTGTCTCAGCACAGAGAATCCTTCTGAAAGAAAGAAAAAAGGAGTTGTAGTAGATGATTTCCAAACGTTAAAAATAGTATTATATAATATTAACGGGATAAAAGAAAACTTCATGAAATTGGAGTTACTATTGAACTAGGCAAGCAAAGAAAATGTTGATATGATTAGAATCAATGAAACAAACACAACAGGTAGACAAAATAATTTTAATTTAAAGAATTAAGACAATTATATGGGTATATAGTCTGATGCAGAAGAAAACAAGAAGAAAGGTTCTGGTGTTAGTCTAATAATCTGTAAAAAATAGGAAAAACATCTAAGCTAAATGAAAAGAAGAAATGCATATTATTTAGAAGCACTTTTTGTATTCAAAAGGTATAAAGTGCTAGTCTTAGTAATATACATACTATATAATGATCCTAAGACTAGAAAAGATATTCAGCAACAGGTTATTAAAAGAATATTTAAATGTCAAAATAAAGGAAAAGCTACAAAAGTTATAATACTAGAAGACTTTAATGACATTCGAAAAATTATACCTTTATGAAAATAAATTTACAAGAGAAAATGATCAAGTAAAGTCTGGAATCGACTATATCTAGGTATCTAAGGATCTAGGCTAAGGCCTTACCTATTACGATATACTAGAAGCAGATATAGTCACAAACAGTGATCATGCTATTGTAATCACAAAAATACTAATAGGTATAAAAAAGAAAGCTAGATCTCTGGCCTGTGAAAAAAAACTTAAAGGGAAAAGATAGTTATTTCTTCTTAACAAAGCAACAGAAGAAAACTGGGAGGATTATAAAACAATACTAAATAGTCTACTTAAAAAGAAGCTGAATATTACAAAAGATGAGTATGATCTAGCTTACTTAGAAACACTAAACAAAGATAATTTGTGAGATATAATCGCAACAAGTATAATCAAGTATGCAAGATCAACTCTTCTAGGAAAGAAGTCTACAGTAGGAAAACCTATTGCAGAAAAAAAGAAAGAAAGCAGTAATATTAAGAAAGACCTAAAGATAATTAGAAGCATGTGTCAACAATGCTCATCAAAAATAGGTCAGCACATCGATAATTCAGACAAACACTCAATGAATACAAAAATAGCAAGAATAAATAGTCTGTATGAAATGGAAATAGAAGAGCTCTCTGAAAGCATATGGTCCAAAAAAAGATATGAAGAGCTAAAGGTATGATAGAAGTTTATATACTTAAAAGCTCAGCAAGCAAGAAAGAAAGAGGACACCAAAGAAATTAATAAAGCAGTTGAACAACACTATGAAGCAATACAAGGAGAACTCAAACATATGATAAACAGCTTGCTTGAAAGATCTTCTAAACAAGTAGTTATAGACAGAATTGTTAAGGAAGACAACTCAGATATAGTACTAGTGAACCAGAAGGAAGAAGTACTAGAGGAAGAGAAAAACCATTTCAAAAAGCAATTTCATAAAAGAAACACCTGTGTTTTAGATATGCCAATTAGGTGGAAAAAAGTATACAACCTACTTGAAAAAGTAGACAAAAAAAACTCTTTCTGGTTCACCACCGGAAACTAACAAACTACAAAATTTTATCAAAAAATTCTACAAAACTCTCACAAAATTTAAGGAAAAGGGTAGCTGCCCTAACTACAAGAAAAAGAAAACTTCTGCTCCTAACTATGAGTAGTTCGTCAACAAAAAGATCTAAGACAGTAGATACAAAAACCAAAAAAAAGATCTTTGACTTGTCTTCGCCAACTGAAGAAAACTAGGAAGCAGATAATAATACTTCTGAAGGAACTTATAGAGATAACCAAAGCTCCTCTAAAACAAATGAGCAAAAGGTAGAAGACATGCAAGCTAACTCAGAAGACCCTCCTCTGAAGAATAAAGGAAAAAACAAAAAAATTTTCTTTACAGAAAACAACAAAGAAAATAATACACGTGAGATAGAAAAAAACCTAGAAAACAAACAAAAACACGTAAATACTACACATGACTTGTCAAACACAACAAGTGCAAACAAACTCAACAAAAAATCAGATGATCAACAACCCGATCAAGCCAAAAGCAATCCTCCCAAAGTTAGACAATGGTCTGACTTATTCTCTAAATTGAAAGGTGGCAAAGCCA